TAGATATTCTCTCCTAATCCCAATGATGGATACAGTACTAGTGGGTTGGTTGTGGGAGTTTTTTAAATACTTTGAATTAACAGAAATAATGAGACAACGGGAGGACAAATGAGGACATATCACTCATTGAAACTCGAGTAGTTAATTTCGAAGAAGTTCCCGATGATGCCATACATTTATTTTGGTCCCATGAAGAGACAAATAATTTCAATGCCCTTAAGATCAGTCGAATCCCAACTGAAGCTATCCTTTCAACTGCAAAATACTCAGTTAAAGGAATTGGTATAAGTGAAAATAAGAATATTTTGGAAAGAGTTAAACTTTTCAAAACTTCTGAAACGCAAGGACTGCCCTATGAATTGACACTAAAAACATCCGCCAAATATATGATTACAGTGAATATAAACACGTGTGATGGCTTGGTTAATGGGGCAGCTGGACAACTTATGCAAATTGATTTCCAATGTTCCTTTCCAACAATTCTGTGGATTAAATTTTTGGAACATTCTGTTGGTTTAATAGCACGATCAAAAAAGCCTCATCCTCTAAAAAGTTATTGGAAACCAATTGAAAAAGTTCTAAAATCTTTTCAGTATAAAAGAAATGAACAAATTTCAATTGAAAGAAATCAGTTTCCAGTTGTTCCGGCTGAATGAATAACTATTCATAAAAGTCAGGGTGCCACATATAATAAAGTTGTAGTTCATACTCGACCCGGAATGCCTAGAGCTTCAATATATGTCACTTGTAGTCGAGCTACTACTGCAGTAGGTCTATTCATCATTGAAAATTGTATTCCTCGTAATAAATTTTCTGAACACAAATAAAGCTCTGACAACAAGTTTCAGTTTTATGAATTCCCGAACATCAGGACATCAAATTTTATTCCATAATGTTCAGAGCCTTCATGCTCACATTAATGATATAAAAAGCGACTGTTTGATGCTATCTTCAGATATTTTATGTTTTGTAGAAACTTGGAGTTATCCGTTTCGATATACCAGGATTTACTCCAATTAACGAGCTGAGGATAGATAGTACAGAAACAAGCAACAGAAATAAACGGGGCATTATAATGTATGCAAAGCATAGTATTGCTAGATCTACAGAACCAAAGGCTGTAAAAAAAATTCATTTAGGCCGCAAATTTTTAGAAGTGATTTTGTTTAAATGTTTCAGTATTAATATTCTGGCTCTATATAGAAATTCCGCTTTCTCTGCCAGACATTTAATTGTAGAGCTTTAAGAAGTCCTTACTTCTGAGTTATGCAATCAAAATGTGCTAGTTGTTGGAGATTTCAACATTTGTTTAATGTCTACAGGGAATTCAATAGGAAATCTGCTCAAGGAAAAAACTTTAGTTCCCTGCTTGGTGTAGAATATTCAACTAAACCTGCCGGTACACGAATTGATTGGGCATTTTCAAACATAGATCCTTCCCATGTTAATGCAATTGCTTTTGAGACAGTACACAGCTATCATGACAGTATTTATGTCTCTATTTCCAACTAAAGTTTTCAGACTTATTGCAATAGTTCTTCATTTTTTTTTTTCAAATATATATTAAGAAATGGTATAGCAATTTGGAGAGTAGTTTTTAAGACAATTTTAAGAAAAATATGTAAATAATCTAATTAAGAAAATTTAAATTATATGTATAATTTGTTATTATATAAGACATTATTGTATAAATATATGATAGAAATTTAATAGTATAAGGAGAAAAGATATATGTTTTCGATATATGTATAAATATCTATATAAAAATTTAAGTTTAATAATGTAAATACTATATACAAATTAATATAATAATATAATTTTAAAAGTTGTTAATATTTATTATTTTTAAGCTAAACATATATAATAATATCGATAAAATAAATAAAAAATGTTATTGATTGTCAAAAAACGATTTATTTTCATACTCCTTAATAAATTATAAGCGTATGCAACAAAACACAAGAACGATTGCTCTAATTGTTAAAATATATAAAGAAATCTCAAACGAGTATACCATTTGACTATGCGAGAGTATAAAATGTTCAGTTGCATCCAAACTTAGCCCTTCCTTTCTTTTTATATTCTCGTAAACTTTTGCTACAGAGTATAATAGTTTTGCTCGCCTAACGGTTGTTTTTATCACCTAAAACTAATCGAATTAGATATAGGGTTATATATATATAAATGATCAGGATGAAGAGACGAGTTGAAATTCGGGTGACTGTCTGTCGGGTGAATGGCGGATTACAACCACGCCTATTTCCCATATAACACCATTTAAATTCCATCTGGTTTTTTCACTTTCCAGTATGCAAATCAAGTAACACTGATTTTATCGGCGTAAAACTTTGCGTGAATAATACGTTTAAAGTATGCCACTTTGTGACTAAAAATTGTCTAAATCGAATCAAAACTGTTTAAGCCGCTAGGTACTGAATATTTGGACCCCAGTGCCTAAAGCTGACTTTTTACCGAAAATATCGGTCAACATAGAACAAGGCGGCAAGATCCACAAAAAAAACCTAAAACGAGTTTACCATTTGACTTTGCGAGAGTATAAAATGTTCGGTTACATCCGAACTTAGCCCTTCCTTACTTGTTTTATATGTGTATATGCAATCATATGATTTAATATGAATGTCATTTTGTGAATATTTATGAAGGCATGTACAATTTCCCACATTTTAATCAATTAATATACTATTTCAAAGAAATATTTGAAGTCAATGTGAAAATAAGACCTATTTTTATACTCTCGCAACCTGTTGCTACAGAGTATAATAGTTTTGTTCACCTAACGGTTGTTTGTATCACCTAAAACTAATCGAGTTAGATATAGGGTTATATATATATATAAATGATAAGGAGGAAGAGATGAGTTGAAATCCGAGTGACTGTCTGTCCGTCTGTGCAAGCTGTAACTTGAGTAAAAATTGAGATATCTTTATGAAACTTGGTACACATGTTTCTTGATACCGTAAGACGATTGGTGTAGCAGGTGGGCGTCATCGGAGCACTGTCGCGCCAACAAAACGCACAAAACGCCATTCATCGAAAACAAATAAATTGCCATAACTAAGCTCCACAACAAGATACAAGACCCTTATTTGGTATACAGGATAACATTAGGGTAGGGCATCTGAAGTTTAAATTTTTTTTAAATGGGCGTGGTCCCGCCGCCAAATAGGTTTAATGTGCATATTTCCTATACCACTGAAGCCATAATTAAAAAAATTCACTGGGAACAAATGGTTTAGCATCTCTATCGACGGTGTAAAAATGGGTGAAATCGGGTGACAACCCCGCCCACTCCCCATTTAACGGTACTGTTAAAAACTACTAAAAGCGCGATAAATCAAGCACTAAACAAGTCAGAGACATTAAATTTTATCTCTGGGATGGTATGAGATGACTTTATAGGAATCATGTTCAAAATTACTCAGTGGGCGTGGCACCGCCCACTTTTAGGTGAAAACCCATATCTTGGGATCTGCTTAATCGATTTCAACCAAATTCGGTACGTAATATTCTTCTCATATTTCTATATTACAGTACGAAATTGGACCACGCCTATTTCCCATATAATGGAGTAGGTTTTATCTTTGGTTTGTTTGGATGCTTTTGTATTTGTTTTGTGAACATATTCTGCATTGCCTGACTATATTATTGGTTTTAGACTGCATTTAGGGGAAGTAGAATTTTTCAATGATTTGTTTTTTATTTTCTATTGCATTTCTATGGTATCTTTTATATTCAACTAAAGTTTGATTAATTACTGTTCGTATGATTCTAAGTCCTCAACTGTTGATTGGGTGCATCTAATTTTGAAAGTAAAAGTGTATGGGATAAAATTTTTGAATTTGTCCCATTATACCTTCAGAGGTCAGTATGCCATTAGTTACAGAATGGTTTTAACGGCGTGTTAAGGTTATACATACATGGTATGTCGGAAAGGGTATTTTGAAGTCGTAAGAATTTTTTTGTCCTGTAAGTAACCATATTTGATTTTTAAATGCATTGATAGGCCTCTCTGTTACTGGTATCAGAATGTGTTTTGAACTTTCGTCGGAGTGCGTTGCTATTGTTAATATAATATATTAATTTAAGCAGTGACGTATAGGTAGTTACGCGACGATTTTAGTGACCAACAAACTGCTAGCATCTCATTCTCGTTTGTTGCGTAATTTTGCTCTGTTTTGGTTAATGTTTTTAAAATAAACGTTCAAGTACTTCTCCGATGGCGTATTTCGAAGCAAATGAAATTATTCATGATAGTTGGGATAGGTTAGTATTACTACTCTTGAAACTAATGCACTTTTCATTTTGTTGAATGCTTTTCTAGCTGCGTCGTCTAGCTTGATGTTTTTTTTGTATTCTTCTTTCTTCTACACAGAGAAGCTAGTGAGGGGTTTAGGTAATTTCGCGTAGTCTTTTATAAAACGTATATAGTATACGAAGAGTCCTAGAAATGATTTTAGCGGTTTTAGAGTTTGTGGGCATGGAAAGTCGACTATTGTTGGTACTTTACTAGAGTTTGTGTTTATTCTATAAGAAATCCTAAAAATTATGTTTCTTTTTTAAACAATTGGCTTTTGTTCATTTGTACTTTCATATTAGTGTCCTGTAAGGTTTCGAAAATTTCAGGTATATGTTGAGCATAGGTTTTTTCATCTTTTGTGAATATGATTATATCGACGATATAAACATCAAATTTCGCAATCTGTTTTCTAAGAATGTCATCTAAAGTACGTTGGCATATTGCTGGGGCATTCTTTAGGCAGAACGCCAAACGTGCGAATTTGTATTTGCGATTTTGAACTGAAAAAGCAGTTTCTCTATGTCAGATGCTTTGATTCGAATCTGGTGGAAACCGCATTTCATTAAAGCAAAGAAAATCTCAATCCTGTACTTTTTTTAAGAAAATTTAAGGTATGTCTTGAAACTATACAATACTTACATTATATGAACAAATCTTACAAAAAAAATGTACACTCCAAGAACGTTGATAAATATTTTGTGTTACAATTACAATCTAAGAACATAATAATAATTCTACTTTTTTAATTATCTGTTAGTATTAAAAATAAGGTTAAATTATAAAAGCATTACAATTACTTTTTGTGGGACTTTGAATTCGCAAAATCATTGATTATGTCGTCGAATGAAATCTTGTTGATTAGTTCTGACTCTATACATAAAAGAATCAAAGTGTTTAGCTTTTCTTGACTTAAAGTCGATCGTAGATAGTTCTTGACTCTCTTCAAGCAAGAACAACTTCTCTCACCAGAACAATTTTTTGCTGGTGTACATAAAGCAATACGAAATGCTATATCCAAGTTTAAATATTTTCTAAATTTTGTTGTCGCATAAACGAAGACAAACTTTTCAATGATCCAGATTTTGGTTTTATTAAAATTCTTTCAGAGAACAGATAGGCTTGAAAGTGTACGCATTCCTGAACTGTGTCTGTCTCTAAATCATTACGAAACGTTTCCTCCAACAAAACAAGGCACGTAAAAGACCAAAGGTGCTTGGTCTCACGCCATACATGTTCGCGGCATTATCATATGACTGTCCGTGACAGTCTGCAATATTTATACCCAGTGTTTTTTGTTCTAAAATAACGGCAGAAAACATTTCTTCAGCGTTATGTCCCACCAGAATCCAAAACGTATCTAACAACGACCGTGAGTTTATCTATGTGGGCTATATCTGGTGTTGAATCATTGATTAGCGAAAAATATTTAGCTTTTTTTATTTCATCTCCAATCTTCTTTAAAACTTTCTGACCCATCAAGAGCATACATTTATCGCAAGTGGTGTTCGATAAGTAACTGGTACTCCCTGATCCTTGATTTCCAAACCTTTCAATATGATGAACCAGAAAAGGATCGAATTCTGCTAATAGTTCCAAAACCATACAATAATTTCCATTATGTGGATCTCCAAATTTTATTTTTCCCTCTAAAAGCGAAACCTCTTGAACACAATGGCTTTACGACAGCAACAACTCTCATCAGAACGTTTCTCCAGTAAGTTATTTCTTCATCAATCTTATTATTTCTATCTTTCAAACTAAGAATACTAGATTTATGACGCACAGAGTTGTCATGCTGAGCTACTCGATGATCTGCATTTTTGCAGTCATTGAATCTTCCGTTCTCAAATTGAATTATACACTCCAATGGACCAAATGCCAAACACGGTCCCCAATATACAGATCTGTTATCTTCAGAGTAAACTAACCAATTTCGATCTTTCACTTCATTGTTTTTCATTTTTCTTTGGAAGATACTAGTTGGTAGAAAACGATGCTAATCAGCATATACCTATTCTTACACTGTTAGAGAAAATACAATATTTGTTTTGATCTAAGCCGTACTTACGATAATATCCCTCAAGTTATTATTAATTATCCATAGCGGGATCTTTATTTAGACTTTTGATTGTTTGTACTATTTCGACGTCGTTAGGACTCGACGTTTGACTCTGAGACGAATCTTCAATTGTTGGACTTACAGATGAATCCGCTTCAGCCACGCTGTCACAAACAGCAGAGTATTTATCGGTCTCTTTTTCTTCAGATTGCATTGTATTAAGACTTATATTTGAAGTTTCCGCTCAAAATACTGCTTTCACTCTTATTTATAAAAAAATTACTGTTTGTCGGATGACATCTTTCTGTTCTTCTCTTTTAATTTCTGCTCTCTTCCATCACTCATTCTGACAATTTTTGATTAAAGAACTGAAACAATTAAATAGTAAATTAAAAGTATCGTTTTCTGTACGTAATTACCAGTATCCTTTGTTCAGATTTCTAACTTTCAATACTTACCTACTAAAAGCAAAACAGATAAATAAAAGTATGATAAGACAAGAATTTCGAATTTTTTATACACTTTTGTTATCAAGTTAAATTTACTGTTTCGCTACGGATGATTTATCGTAAACATTAGTGATGTTATTGTATAAAATTATTCACGAATCCACTGAAAAATTATAGTTAACAACTAGAATGATCAGCTCCTGGAATATTAATATCAATACGGAATATATAAAACTGTAAGACGCAAACATCCGAAGTGACTTTCCTTTTCTTTTTCACTTAAATGCAATAAATGGATCGATATAACATGATAATAAAATTGTGTTAGTAAAATTAATAATTTTAAGTCCACAGATGAAAAAAATTTTTGCCTGAAAATAAAAATTCTTGACTCAAAAAAATTTTTGAGATTGATCTTCCACAAAATTCTCTTGGGCCAAATATATATTTCTTTTGAATTTAAATTCTTAAACAAAATGTTTATTTCTTGTTTTAAATTTATAATAAACAAGAATTTACTTGCTACCGGCAAGTAAGATTACCCTTTAACCAAGAAAGAAATTCTTGTGACAAGAAAATTCCTTTCTTGATCTTTAAGTGGTCCCCCACCCCAAACTCTAAAAGTGAAAGTGGGGCCTCAGTTTAAATTTATGTAGAAGAAAAAAACACATCACTGAGCATTGACGATTTAGCGCCGTAGCATGCGACTCTGCTTCATACGAGAAAATCGTGGGTTTGATCCCGACAGACGGTAATGTGGTGCATTTTAAGAATAGAAGTATGTAAACAGCGATAGAGGCAGTAATTATTATACTCTAGCAACCTGTTGCTACAGAGTAAAATAGTTCTGTTCACCTAATGGTTGTTGGTATCACTTAAAACTAATCGAGATAGATATGGAATTGTATATATTATAAATAAATTATCAGTATGAGGACCACTTCTTAGATAGGCGTAATCGGACCTGAGCTCACCCACAAAACACCACATAACGAAAATCTATAAACAGCCATTACTAAGCACAAAATTAAGGTATAACACTGTAACATGGCATAGGGAATGCCAGTAGCAAAAGCTACCTTTGGGCTAAATATTTTGAAAAAATTGGCTTGGCCAAGACCTCTAAGAGGTTTAATGTATATATCAATACAAATACCTTAAGCACGCCCACCGACACTGTAAAAATGAATGAAAACGGGCCATCACCCTGCACACTCCGCATATAACGGTTCTGTTAAACACTACAAAAAGCGCAATAAATCAATAACTAAATACGCCAGAGATATTTAGTGTTAACCTAGGATGATACAAGAACACTTTAAAGGAGCCGAGGTCAAAATTGGACGCTGGGCATGGCACCGTCCACATTTAAGTGAAACCTCATATCTCAGGACTTACTCCACCGATATCGACCAAATTTAGAATGTAATATTACCTTAGTATGTAATACTACCAGACATACCGATCGTTCAATCTTTTTTATATGCACCTTGCATTTCTTAAACAGGGATCTTTGTGCTAGTATTTCCGATTTATGTGTTGAATTTTCAAAAAGAAAAACATTTGTATTTATATTACATATAAAAATCCTTATTTTTTGTTCAATTGTTTTCACTTTACCAATAATTAGTTCTTGATTGTCTCTTGTCTATTGTCCAACGAGCCCATTTTATCGAATAATACTTGTAGCTATACATTTTAGAAAAAAATCACATTATATACAAAAATTATCATTATTTCAATTTGTTATAGAATATTTACTTACATTCGCTTCTAAACTATGTAGTTTTGCTATTATTTCCTTCTGGTTGCATAAAATTTCGTTTAGTATCAATATCATTTCTGAAATGAATTAAATAACTTAAATATATTTAAGTTAAAAACAAACAAGAGAAAACGTTATCTTCGGCTGCGAAGCTATAATACCCTCCCCGGTGCATTTCTTTTAGAAACTACTATATGTATGACTACATTTGAAAGCGTGACTTGCCAACGGTTTGCATCCAACGGAAAGCATTTTGCCAGTTCTTTCTAGCCAGGTTTTTTGCTATAAACAATCTTCTATTCGAATTAAGGTTAGTTATTGAGGTAAATAAATCTTTCAGACATTTACATAAATTTTAATTTTTTAAGCTGATTGATTATTCACATTATTTATTGGAAAACAAAACAAACAACAACAAAACAAAATATATAACATATAATAATATTTATTATTCTATAATACTTTTTTATATGATATATAAATTACAATAATTACATCTATGACTTACACTTTATATTATAATACAAACTTAAATTTAATAATATTGAATCTAACATATATCTATATATATAATATAATATATCTATTTTCTAAAGCTTAAAAATATTCCGTCATGATCATATATGGTGTTTAATATGTGATACATGAGGTCATTGCAGAATCCATGTTTGCCCATACCCAATCTATTGATGTTTCCTGTTTTGTTGTGGCAACCTTAGCCAATGAAGATTGAAATCCTAACTGTTGCAATCGAGCCTCCAAATCATCAGTTGCTGTTAGGCGACATATGTTAAAGTCACCAAGGACTACTGACGGTCCATTATACTGTTCAGTTATCTGACGGATATTATTTTTCACTTGGTTTCTAAATTCCGGAAGTCTATAGCGGGGGTTCCTGTACACAAGTGATATGGAAACTGTTGAATTGTTTACGTTTAACAGTTGGTAAACGTTTGTTGAACCGGTGTCGTTTCTTGAAATTAATCCTTCTGATAGACCTATGCACCTATCTTGCTTGTAGTATATTATAAGGCCGTTGGCAGGGCGTCGTCGGGATGATCTTGTTTCTCCATCAAGGCGTGCAGTAACACTGTAGCCTTCTATTGTGAATTCTTCTTGAGGTAAGGCCTATGTCTCGGCAAAGCACAGAATATCAGCAGAACAAATCAGCTTGTCTGATCTAATATCTTCAATATGCTTGTTTAGAGTCCTTACATTTTGATAATAAATATCTAGGCTTTGTTCCGATTTTTCAGTCAAAAATCTGTAGCATGTCGCCAATGCTCCTTCTGTCTTCAACCTATTAAGTTGAGTTTTAATTGGATCCTGCGGTCCAAATGGGTTCGGGGAAGAAAGTGTCCCGATTATATACAATCCATTGGCACTTGTGGCTCTGCTACATCCTACATATAAAGCTGATCTGCTTACTCTACCCTCTAGATGAACAGCAATTTGTGTGTATGTTCCACCTTGACTTTTATGTATCGTGATGGCTTCAGCTGGAATGACCGGAAACTGTCTGCGTTCTATGGTTATTTGCTCATTTCTCTTGTATTGGAATAATCGGACACGCTCATGATTGGTGTCCAATCTGCATTGCGACTGTGAGGCTGCTTGGAACGTGCAAAGCTTCCAACTCTTGATTCTGCGAATTTTATCCATATTCGCACTACTGAACTTTCAGATCTATGTGATTCGGAATCAACCTGCTTTAGTTCCCCCGTAGCACCATTGACGAGACCATCACTTATGCTTATGTTGACTGTCACCATATATTTGATCGAAGTCTTGAGCTGCAATGTATAAAGCATTCCTTGTGTTTCCGATGGCTTAAAAGACTTCACAGCTTCTAAAATGTTTGCCCTGCTGCGTTCTGTTAGGGAACTTGACTTAATTGTATCCTTCGCAGTCGAAATGAACTCGTCGGTCATCGTGTTCGCCAGTTAAGTTAAATTATAATCATTTGCTCCAGCATTTGAACAAAATAGATGGTCTCGTTATAGGTATTTTCCCCGCTTTTGATTAATTGGATGTCAGCGTGTGTCATATTTCCCTCTGAGATCTTATTTAAAGCGATGCAAATGCTTGATCTTTACGCTGGCGCATTATTTCAGTGAGCTCAAAGTACCGAAATTGATCCCAAAGCGGTGTTCCTGTAATTGTACTGTAATGATCATTCCTATTCGGCGCAAATATCCATCGATCTCCTACTGGCGGCAGCTGCTTTAAGTCACCAAACACGATAATTGGTATGCCTCCAAAGTAAGCGGTGCTCCTGAAAATTTGCTTTAGCCTGCAATCTAAATATGCAAACATCTTTGCTCCAACCATTGAAATTTCGTCAATTATAATAAGCCTAATATCTTTGAGATTGGCATGAATTGTGTTTCATGTGTTACTATTTAGTGGCCGAAGATCGCCGGAAGACTGGTTGACGGGAGTGAAAAAACCGAATGAAGGGTTAGGCCCCCAAATCCAAACACCTTGGCTGTTTCGGGGTTGGTTCCTGGTACACTATTAGCTCGCAATGTCAACGACTGATATATAATTGTTATAAGCCGACTCTTGCCCACTCCAGCACCGCCTCCGACATATTCGAAGAAGATTTCCCTTTTACTGACATTGTGCATTACAAGAGTAAAGTATTCCCTCTGTTTGCAGTTAAGTGACTGCACCATTGTCAGTAACTGGTCTTCTAATATTAGAGGTGGGAGTTTAATTAATCGAACCGCCTCTTCCTCTTCCTCTGTATTGTTGTGCTCTTGAAAAACATTAATGTCTCCTGTTTGCTCTGAAACGGCTAGAGCTCTAAATTCGGGATCTAAAAGTTGTGAGGCAGATCGATCATCAGCTGTTTCTTCCGCTGTAACATGAAGGTTTTCCAAAATATTTGTCATATTTGAGCTTATTCAGCTCAATTTGCTCCTTGTGTGAATTGCAAATACTCTCGACGTCATTATTTAATAAGTCTGTTTCCTCATTTCTCCATGGGTGAAATATCATGGCGGTTTCTCTGAAGAAATCGGCTCTTGAACTTTCAACGCTAAAACGTTTCCAACGCAGAATAAGGGCTTGCTTCCTTTTCCTTTGAAATCCTGATCCATCCTTTAATGCCATTGAAAGTGCAGATGTCGTGTCATCCTCGTTCTCTACTTCGTTGTATTCTTCGTTATTATCAAAAACATTTCTGCTTGTTTTGCAAAATCTGAACCTTGCTGCAAAATCTGCTAAGCATAGTTCTTCCAATTGATCGGGCCTTTGAGAGTAGTGCTCCAGCACACTCGGCACATATATGTCCGTAGAGTCCTCCTTTAAAGCATTCAATTCAAGTCGGGGCTTTATCATCCTTACTCGGTTGTTTGGATGTGACGTATTTATAAATATTGCTGCTTCTTGAGCCGATATTTCCGAACCATTTACAAATTTGTTTCCGATGTGCTGCAGTTTTCTTTTAATGGAGAAATTCCCTGCATTTATTTCCTCCATGGCTTGTCTCAATAATGTTGATACTCCTCTATTGAATTTATTTATATAATTAAT